TCCTTTCACTGTAAGGTTCCTCTCTGCATGCTTCACTTCCACCTTGCTTTCATAAGCACATTTATACTGCAAGCTCTCACTCATTCTCTGTAGTTAAATCATCCCTGAAAATATTTTTAGGAGATTAGGCTTTTTAGATTTTCCTTGCACCTCCTTCAGTATTGTACCTAGACTAGTCTGGTCCTTCTCACACAGTTCCTTTCCATCTGCTACATTTTAGTTCTTTTCCCTGAATTTTATTGCTTAATATACTGGACCATAGGGAAGATATATGGTAGTGGTGGCTCCCAGCCTGGACTACAATATTCTATCTCCTCAATATTACTATTACTAAATGCACCATCACTGCTTCTGAGAAGTAGAGCTAGTTATCAACAGCACTGGACACCTGACAAGCAAACTCAGCTGTCAAAAAGGGTACAGATTAGCGTTTTGCATTTTAATTCATACCTTCTACCCATTCAGAATTAGTCTCATTCTCACAGTTTGTTTCCCTTTTTCAGCTGTGCCTTCTACTGTCAGCAACCAACCTGCTTTTTCCACCTCATGGACAGCTCTTCTCTTCAGATTTACTTTGCCTGTGCAACCTCTCACTTATAACCTCACACCCCCAACCATAAACCTCTATCCATACTTCCCCATCCTTTTCACTTCCTTTGCTTTTCTACTCAAAATGGTGCTTACTCATTTCTTTACACTCTTGCCCTGTTAGACACGCATTCTGAAAATTTTAGACCTGAATTAATACACCTTTTGTTTCCTGAATTTAAAATAACATTACAATATATACCTATTTATTGTATTTTAAAATTCTACACCTGAATTCTATCAGCTGACTGGATAAAACCACTAATTCCTCCCTGATTTCCCCAGAGTATTTCCTGGTGGCAAAATAGAAATCTGTAAGTCTGAATTCTTAAGTCAAATCTGCATTACTTCAATCTGAGACATGTAAAATTTTTTGGGTAACAAGCAGTTCCAAAATAGACCGTACACAGAAAGCTCTAAGTATTTATCCAATTAAGAAATTTTCATGTCTTTTCTTTTTCAGCTACTTTCCACCTCTGCATCTCCAAAACACCTATTGTGAGAAGCACAAAGTTTGAAAGAAAGTTTTCAAATCCCTCTGATGCATACGAGAGCATGAATCCAATTCTCTCCAGGCTGCACTGGGAGCTGCTTCAGCCAGCTCCAGATCTGAGCCAGCAGTAAAGCCACCTCCAGTGCTGGGTCAGAGGCACTGGGGTCTGTCCTGGGAGCCACACTGCTTCCAGGGAGTCACCACCTTCTCCTTCCCTGTTGTGCAGGCATCCCACCTCTCCTGTCTCCAGCACTGGTCTCTTCCCAACATGGGCCCAGTCCCCAGCTCAATCCCCAAATATCCAATCTTGGCTCTGAATCATTTACCATTTTCCCCAGCAGAGTTGTTTGTTTTTTTTTTTTTTTCCTCTAAGCAGGCTCCCATTTAATTTACTCTTCGGGCAAAGCACCCTTCCTTTTGTATGCACCTTTCCTGTATGGCACATGTCAGTCATTCAGGATATGCTGGAACTTTGGCTACCCCATTTTTCACATCTTCATTTTTGGACTAATGAGGGAAGCATAAATGAGTATTTGCAATGTTGCATTGATAATTTTCGTTTCTCATTCTTTTGGCTTTAAGAAGTCTCATTTCCTTTTTCTAAATTATTCATTACTGAATTAGCAAAAAAAAAAAAAAAATATGTCACTGTTGACTCAGTGTCACTCTCTCTTACCACTTTACCCACAGTTGAAGAGACACTACCAACATGATGTCAAATCTGCTTTGAGGAAATTACAAATTTGGTCCATAAAGAGAAATATGAAGGCAGAATACTATCATAAGGCATCCAATTTAGTAGCTTGGAACATTTGAATTTAAAAAGTAAAGATTGGATGACAATGAAAGGTATTTGAAATAGCTTAAGAACTGCACAACCAGTAGATCTTGAAACCTTATTGGCAATTGGGATTCATTATCAAAGCATTGTGAAAATGCTTCCATTGTCAATATTAAGCATCAGTATTGTACTCACTGATGAGACCCCGTGAAAAGTGAAGAAAAGTAATTAAATCTAAACTTTCTTGAGCCTAGCTGTGAGACACTGCAAGACATCACTTTGTTTAGCTTATTAAAAAGGAAAAAGAATACTGAGAAATGACCTAATTAGAATAAGAAAGTATGTTTTTGGACAAAACATATCTTTAATCTACCTGGAAGGTGATAATATAAAGCAGTGGCTTGAAGTTACACTTAGATACCTTCAGATAAAAAGGTACACAGTTTCTTTCTGTTATTATTTTGACACCAAAGATAGTTCATGATTGGAACAATAAAGAAATGATGGATTTTTCATCTTTTGATTCTTTTATATCAAGACTGGGTATTAAACATGAAATTAGTATTATGATATCTGATCTATAGATCACATGGAAGACATAGTGATCCCTTATGACTGAGTTATGTGGGTCTATAGGAGCAGAACAACATTAAAGCTTTTTGGTTTTAACTTGTTTCCAAGACAATCAAAACCCACAGTCATGACATAAATATCAGGGATAAACAGCAAGGCTAATCACAAATGAATACATTTCGCTACTAGACTCTTGGGTTTATAATAAAACATATAGAAAGGTATAAAAATACAAAATAAAAAGACAGTGTTATTGTTTTGGGTTTTTTTAATAAACACTCTTGTGAAATGTTCTACTTCCATCTTAAAAAATTAAAGTATTTGCACATATCTATTGGTGCTAAAGCAATTACACTGCAAGGATACAGTACACTTAAATACAGAAAATATCTTAAATGTTAAATATGCAAAACCATAAAGCTCACTTATTTAAAAATAAAATACATTTATATTTATACCGTCCTATTTTTCCTTAAGTACTTAAATTTATTTCTTGAAAACTTTTGACAAGATTCTACTTGGAGATACTCCTTTTAAAACATAATTGAGTACTCTTCATTCCTTAGATGTTCTATTACATATTTACTTTACTAATTAATTTAGCCATAAAAGAGTACGTTTATTTAAGTTTGGAGGTAAATGTTTGTAAACAAAATGACTCCACAAACACAGCTACTTCCTCTAATCCATTTGAAATTGCTGGTGACACTTTAATAAACATATCATCTTTGTTCTGCTTCCCTCAACAGAAGTCATGATTAGAAAACAGATTCAGTAATTGGTGGCTTTGCCTCCTGTTATATTATCAGCGCAGTCCAAGGCTGAAGGTAAAGGATTTAAGAAAATATACAACATGAATATTTGTGTATAGCATTAGAGCACGATGTTGGTTTTTGGAGCAGTAACTGCGACCCAACATTCCCACAGCCTGGCACTCAAGGAGTGAAAGAGGTGTGAGCAGGGCACAGCCCACGGTTAAAGAAGATATTGCCCCTGCTGAGAGGGTCGAGAATGTGTCATCACCTGATAAACAACACTGGTCAATGGATGAGGAGACTGAGGTACCAAACCACGTTTTTCCTCAGTCTACAATGGCAACCACTCTTCCATCATGGATGGACAGCAGTACAACCAAATACTTCCCACTGGAAGTACAGAGCAGATTTGTGACCACTTGAAGAACCTAAGCATTCACAACTTTGTGGAACCTGATGAGATACATCCCAGAGTACTGACAGAATAGTTGGAACGACATCACTTTAGGCAAAAAACTTAAGACCTGTGTATAACCAGTGCTAATAGACTTTCTTTAGGAACACCCTACCTCTGTCAGATCTGTTAAACTACAAAGAATTGATCAAAATCAACTGAGAATTTATATATTTTTAAAAATTATTTAAGCCTATTAGTTATTATTTTGCTCAGAAATCAATTTCAAGAGTTTGGCTGTTGAAATAATGGATGCAGTATGTTAATGCCAGTGTTAATTAATTTTGTCTTAAAAAACCCCACAGTTCAGTTCATGGTAAATAAAAACCTATTTCAATAAACTAACCCTAGGACTTAAATCCCCAGGTCTTTCCCTCACTGCTCTTAAGGAGCAGTATTTCAGTCGTTCTAGACATCCATCCTGCTTCAAATTAATCTGGCTGAACATAAAGCATTTTAGGAGAAAAAAAAAAAAAATCAGAGCTCCCTTGTAAACTTCCAAGAATATAAACAAGAAGTAGAAGAAGTAAATACAAGTACTATTAAGTCTGTTATTCACGCAACCTCGCAGGGGTGGTATTTTTATAAGTACAGGAAGGAGGCAATCGAAGGGCTTGGACTCCTCGATCCTTGTGCGTCCCTTCTGGATTCCCTGATGCGCCCCTTCCAACCCAAGATATTCTACGCTTTTCTGGAGGCGGGGGCAGGTGCTCTTGCTGCGGACAGCCGCTCGTTCCCCAGACCTGTAGCACTCACTATCTGTGCGAACTGCCCCGCTCGCACACCCCGCCGTGCTGGCTGTGGGGCCGCCACCCCGCACGGCGCTGCCCGCGGCCCGGGCGGGGCCTGTGGGTGACGCGGCCCGGGCGGGGCCCTACAAACGAGCCGGCGCCAGGCTGGGGCTGCGGCTGCCGGCCGGGCGAGCCGGGCGACAGCGGGCGCTCGCTCGCTCGCTCGCAGTCCCCGCTCGCCGCTGCCGGGCGCGCTGCCCCGGACGCCGCCGCCACCCGCGGGCGCCCATGGAAGAGCGGGGCGAGCGCTGCCCCCCGGCTCCGCGCCCCGGCGGTGAGTGACGGGGCGCCTCGGAGGGGAGCGGCGCGCCGGGTGCTGCAGCGGGGGAAGTTAGGGGTGGACGAGGGTGCCGGCGGTCGTGGATGGGCTCCGCCGCCCGCGGGGAGCGCTGGCGCTGCCGCCCGGCACCTGCAGCCGGCAGGTGCGAGCCCCGCGGCCGCGGCGGGCGAGCGCCGCTGTGGGGCTGCGGAGCCTCTGCCCGGCCCGGCCGGACCTGAGAGCTGTCCCCAGCCTCGGCAGGGACGCGCCGCGCTGCCTCCGCCCGCCGGACTCACCGAGTCGGGCTCTGGGAGGCAGCGCTGACAGGGCTGGGTAGGAGAGAAAGCGAGAGGGCGAGGCAAAGTGTTCGGCAGCACCTGGCCAGGTGCGGCAACTGGGCACTTTCTTCATCTTCTTTCTCTCGTGGCAAAATGACAAGTACAAGTAAGGGTAGAGTGGCGGGGCGCCTACCTGACGGGAGAACACTTGCAAAAGCTCTGCTGAGCATCTTGGATCCGCTCCCTCACGTAATGCTGGAGCCGGCGGGATGCAGCGTGCTGAGCTGGAACCTGGCGAGCTGCTGGGAGCACAGTGGTCTTTGGGGGTTGGCAGGAGGGCACAAAGCCTTAATTCGAGCTCGTTTCTGTTTTGAAGGACTGGCACCCTAGAGTAGTACAGCAAAGGCTTGGTTACTGCAGTTCTCGGTGTGCTTTCCAAGGATAAAGGTGTGTGCAGCTCAAATCTTTTGAGGGTAGAGGGATGCCGAGAGGGAGGGGTGGTAGCCTTCAGATGGAAGAGTTTGGGTTTGGTCTCATCTTCCAGCCAGACATTCAAAAAATTAGGAGGGGGCATGCAGCTGAGTACAGGCAGTTTAATCACCTCGGCTGGCTGGGAATTAAAGTACATTATTCTCCTTCTTTTCTCTGTTAGTGCAGTGGGTTAAGGGCTTTCCCAGTTTCAAGTCTGTTTCTCTTTGGATTTTGGTGTGGAAAAAAAGCAATACCTGTGAAGTTCTAGAAATATGCTTGAATGGCACGGGGATAGAATGTCTGCAGGGAGCATCTTTCTGGCATGAGAGATCCATGCAGTGCCCACTCCCACTGAGAGAGAGCCTCTGCAGTATGTATGGCAAATGGATCACAGTAGAACAGGTTCAGTTTGGTGAATGGCTATATATCCTCTGGCTATCAAACTTAATTGGTAAGTATAAATATAACTGTTGCAATTTACATCTGCCAGCATTTCTTATGCTCTCGAATAAGTGCATTTCTCACATTGCTCAGAAACAAGCACCTCTCAGTAAGAGCACAGTCACTGGCATCAACTTTAGCTATCTCTTGCACATTCACCCTTTCAGGACCCACCCTCTTTTTTTCTCCTTTTTCAAAAATGCAGAGGGTTTTGATACTACATAGCCAAAAAATACTTCTGGTAGGTCAGCAGGAAGGTTATGCATCTGAAGCAAGGCCAGCTATTGCAGTGGGGAGACCCTAATTTGACAGAGCAAATTCCAGCCTCAGGGTACTACCTTGGTTAATCTGAACTAGCCGTATGCTTACATAGGCATTACAGAAAAACAGTAGATGGAAAACACTTTCCAGTACATGCATGTATGCATAGATACATATAACTCTTCTGCTTTTCATTAGAGGAAATAAAAAAAATGTTTTATTAGTTTCACTAACCTGGAATCTCTCCCTTCCCTCATCTAGAAATGCCACTCATAACGCATAAGATATCAGAGCTCAAAAATATGTCAGAGCTGATGGATTTCCATGAAAACTTTTGATAATGAGAAAAACAAAACTGTAATATGCTAAGGCAGACCAAGATGGGAGATCCTGCTGGTCATCTCATTTATCTGTCCAGAGCATGAGGGTTCCCTCCAGGTCACTGTGTAGTGCTTTGCTTAGTAAATTGATTGGTTTAACTAAGTCTAATACAGTGATGACCTCACCAGTCTTCACTGCTCCAATGTTATTCTGAAGGCAGGAGAGTGGAAGACACAGAAGTCTACTTGGAATATGAACTAAACTACTATATCGAGGTGTGGAGGTTTCATTGTTGTTGTTTGTTTGTTTTTATGTTTTAAATATTGGTATTTGAAACAGGGCCCACAGCCCTGTGTAAGTGGCAAGAAATTGCTTGGCAGAGGAAATGAGAATAGGATTGCTTAGTCTCCTGTGTTCCCTATCTTAATACATCCAGTTAAGGTGAACCTTTATACTGGGAGGGGGCAAGACAGGACAGAGCCATCTTTTCACACACACTGTTTTCCTGGGGACAGCTTTGATGAATTAGGAAGCAAGTCTTAATTGCACTCTAACTGTGCAATAGATTTCTGCTTCCTAATTAGAATGTGACCCATTTTGCTTGGAAAGTGGGGTGGGAAATAATTTCTGGATTTTGAATTGAGCATTTAGGTTTGGGGGGGATAGAGAAGGCAGTGGTACAATGTATCCTCTTTACGAAAAAATCGAATCCTGACAGGTATTAAAAAAATTGCTAGAGGGTGTTAAGGGGATTCCATATTACTATTCAGCACAAAAAGTTTTGTGCATCCTGAGCTTTTCAAGTTATTTTTATTCTGGTGTAATGTCCCATTTTATTTTTACCTGCATGAGGTTCTCTGAAATCTAGGATATTTTCTCTTCTGACAATTTTTATTATCTCTTGGCATGAAAGAATGCAATGGTCCCTTCTGACCTTAAGAAAGAGTGCATTTTATATATAACTACAGTCTATTGTAAATTTGCTGCCTTACTGCTCACACTGGAGCTGAACTCCTTTAGAAGTCATGTACTGGTGGCCTATCTAATTTGCATAAACGGTATTTATCACAGCAGGTGCAGAAGTACAGCAGATTTCAGCCAAAAATACTTCCTACCAAGTCAATATTTCTCAGCTTGTGAAGTTCCCCTTCCCAAAATTTAAAGACCTTTTAGAGTGTATTTCTGAAGTCTTAGTGCTGATAGACAATATCTCATCTTAACAGCACTGAAATTACGATTAGATTTCTTAACATCTGACTATAAAAGTTAAAGCCATGGTTTAATCTCTGCTGGTTGTGCAGCAGTTTTAATATAATTTGGGAAATGTACATATCATCTAGGCACTGTAAGACAGGTTCATACAGTTACACAGTTACACAGTCACATCCCTTCCTAATGTGCAAATTACTTTTTTGATATATCATGAGGTGATCAATAGTTTATGGTTCTAGAAACCTTCAGCAGTGTGTAGTTCTATTTAATGTATTACACTTACCTCTGTAGCTCTCACTAATGTAGGAAAGTATTTGTAGTTCAGACCTGGAAACTAGAATTCAAGCATTTCATTGGCAAGTTTTGTTTAAAACTTGTTAAAATGGCATTAAAAATCACAGATGTATGCAGTGGGAAGTATGGGAAGAATGTCTTCATGGAGAGGGCATTGTGATACAGTTTAATAGATAAAAATAAGAAAATGCAGAATATATTTTCAAGATGTTTCACAAATTGAGTTAATTTTTTAAAAATTGTTCTCTTTCCTTTCCTGCTCTTGGCTGAGCTTTAAGTGATAGCTGTACTGTGAAGTTTTATGTTATCAGGGTACCAAGTGGCACTTGAGCTAATATAAACAACTAAGGAGTATATCGTATGGTGGACAGTCCACCCTTAGAGGATAGGAATATACTGTTCATATCAACGAGTTCTTGAAGGATTTCAAGTACACTGCAGTTGCTCTAGTTCCGTTTTTTGAAGCACATCACTGAATACAAATGTTCAGAACACTGAGCCTTTATCAGTTTAGGAAGTTGATTATCTCAGTTAGGGGAATTTTTTTTTCCAAGAGAAGAAACGAGCATAGCAGATGTGTGGGTTGTGCTGCACAGCAGCTAGGTTTAACCAGCAAAGTTAGTCTTACATTTTGCAGTACTGTGTGCCCAAATATGTGCAAGGGAAAATACAGTCCACAAACTGTCCTGAGGTTCTATCACATCAGCAAAACTAAGTATTCTTTATAAGAACAGAATGTCTCACTCAGATGTTCAGCTCTAATCTCCCTCTACAGACAAACTTCAGCAAGTGAAATATAGTTCTCATTCAGTCCAGACTTTTTTTTTAGATGGCTGTACAGAGACCTCTCCAGTGAAGGGATTCAGTTCTGCAAGGAAATAATGTAAGGCCACCTAAAACTTAACCTTTTTGTCCACAGCCCCTAAAGAACCAGGAAAATACAACTTCTCTCTAATGAAGGTGAAGTCACTTGCATGCTTATGGAAAGGGTGTAGTCTTACCTCTTCTAGTTACTGCCCTGGTCCTAGTGACTGGGTCCCATTAGCTGTGCTAAACCTTTCTGTGTGTTGCTGTGGGCTTTTTTGGTGAGGTATGTCCCTTTCAAATCTGCCAGCAGACTGCCTAATGCTTACTGACTGCTCTACAGACTCTCCTTCAGTCTCTTCCTACCCACTTGGGCAGCTAACTCAGAGGTTCTTGTGAAAGTTCAGAGCTGAATCTAACCCCATCCAATTCCCAGTAAAAATGAAGTTATCAGTTCAGGATGAAACACCTTACTTTTTTAATGCATATTAAACTAAGAAGTGTATATAATCTAAGTAATTTAGGCAATGTCACTGTCACACACATACAGAGGCATTAAAATACCTTTGTAAAATGGTAAGAAATAGTCCGAAATTACAGAACAGTGACACGTTTCAAAGAGTACTGAAACATGCTTAAAAGTCAATGACATATGATAGCCTCTGGCCCTCATTTTGCATTTACTGATTAAATTTTCTGTTTATTTCCAAGTTACTATTACTGTTGAAGAAGTTTTAATCATAAAGTCCACATTGAATCTGGTTAAATAAACAGGATGGCACATTTCACTAATTAATTGGAGAAAGCTGAAGAAAAGATTAAGCAAAAGCAATCAGACTTTTTGAAAAGACTTGGTATAATCTTCAAAGCACCATTTAACATAAACTGTGTTTCTTTTACAACTTGCCCATTTACTTGTAGCAAATACAGTAGTAATGGCTGTCAGTTAAATTTTTTTAACTCATCTGGAATACAAAGTCATCAAGTGAAGTCATGTATGCTATACATGACTTATGTATGCAGTGAAGAGAATTCTTAAAGCAGAAAAGTAACTTGGCAAAGTGGCTGCTTTAAACTCCTCATTGCATGCTTATTATTGTTTAAAGAGTTTTTCAGACCCACAAATTATAAAGCTGTGGAATACGTTTGCATCATTTTATATAAACCACTGTCATTCTAGACCCCAAACTACAGATCGACCTAAAGCATTAAAGAGAATATAAGAGATGAGAGCTGATTGACAACCAATTTATAGGCTGCTTTATTCCTGAAGACCACTCTTCTCACACATCATGTGTTTTATACTGAATTTAGAGGCACAGTCGTGTCCATTGTTGCACTAGTCTATAACAAAACAAAATAATTGATCCAGATATCAGGCCTACACAGTTTGAGTGAAACAAAATAGAATGGGAAGAAAAGGTAGACAAAGCTTTATTGCCAGCAAACAAAGCAACAATAGCACATAGGTATTCTGAATGACATAATTACTGATATGGTTCTTTGGAAGTGCAAAAAATAAATGTTACTGATACAGTAGTGGTGTTCTGCAGTGGAAGATGTGCACCTGAACAAATAGCTGAGGAGGAGCAATGAAATTAATATGTCTGAAACAGAAGATATTCCTATGATATTATGAGATTTCATGTTGAAACAGAAAACAGTTTCTTTTGTGTATTTAGAAAAAGCTGTGCCCCACAAAAGTCTTTACAAATGGGAAGTCATTGAGGCAGACCTCCACTGAGCCTCAAAAACCTGCCTGAGGTGAGGCTCCTGGTACCACACCTGTAATATCCCACATGTCTGATTTCAAAGATGCTGGCTAAAACAAGAGTAAAGCTAGAGTGAAGAGACATCTTGCTGTCTTTTGCTCAGAAGTTCCTATGCTATTTTCAACCACAGGAAGGCTTGAATAAAAAAGTTCGCAACTGACAAGTATGTGACCAATGAGTTACAAATTAAGAATCCCAGTGCCTTAATATATAGCATTAATTTTCTTAAAAAAAACCAAAAACAAAAACAAAACACAAAAAGCCCCAAAAAACCCCAACAACAGCAGAAAAAAAATCAACACCACCCCTCCCTCCACTCTCAGCGGTGTGTTGTCCCTATGAGACCAGCAGCTGAAATTTAATCTTTCCAGAGACAGTCTGTTACAGAACTTGGCCGTTAGCACAGCATATTTCTGACTATTAAGAAATAAGTGTTCCTACCAGTAGGCTTTAAATTCACTTCTTTCCACAAAGTTCAACCTGTTCCTCGCTGGAATCCTATTATGCTTTTCCAATAAGGTGTTAAGACACTCTAGTTTACTATTTATGGAGCCAGTGACTTAAAATATACTGTGAAGTAAGTGGCTATTCCTTTAATCTGTGACCTTAAAATTCAACAGGGTTGATGTTTTGTTGTTCTTATGTACAGAGCTGCCCATCAGTCACTGATCCAATCTGGTGCCGTATCCTGTGCTCCCATTGCTGCTGAATATTGTGGCAGTATAGCTCAGTGAAATTACCTATATCGAATTTTCTGTCACCCGGTGTCTTCCCCCATCAGCATCCACAGTGTGGGGCTATTAAGCCTATTTCTTGTTAAAATTGATATAGATTAAGCTGAGAATGATTAGCAGGAATGGTGGGGACAGGGAAAGAGAGTAGAAGACTAATGATGACAGACAAAATGGAACTCCTTCAGACAGAGGAAACTTAACAGTGCCCAAAAATGAAAAAAAACCAAATTCCTCAGCAAACTTGCCTCACATCAGGCATCACAGAATAGCCTGACACAAGGTATGCCCACAAGATCAAAGCCCATGGGCATACAAGGAGGCACTTTCTTAACTTCACATCTATCATGACACTTTGCTTCTCTTTCTTCCAGGCCTCGATTTCTGCTTCCTAACAAGATTGCTGCCTTGTAGCCCATTAAAAATGGAAAAAGGGAAAGCATGGAAGTGATAATCAGTAGAAAGCATCAGGAAGCAGACCTTTTCCATTCAGGATGGAGTCATGACCTCTGTAAATGCAAAGCTATCAAACAGAACTTCAGATTACTTAGAAACACATCATTAGTCTTTGTTGCACTGGGACTTAGGTTATTGTGGAAAAGTCATTAGTTTCTTTTCAGATTCTCTGGAGAATTTCCAAAACCTAGCCCTTACATTTCCTCAGGTTGTTCATATGCAATTTTATATTTCAGCCCTTGTTAGCTGGCACAGTATGAACTGTTCCAGGCTTAAATTCATAATTACAATATCCTACTAAGGCAAAGTAGTCAGGTACTCAGCTGTCATGGCTTCTACTTCTAAGTGGAGTTAGACAATACTGAAATCCACACCAGCCCTTCACTAAGGGTATAAAGCCTTTGGAAGACACTGTAATTCAGGGAGCTTGTGTATGCAGCCTGCTCATACTGCAACAATCGAATAGCTCTACTATGTGTGAAACTCTGTGCGTGAAACTTCACTTCAAATGTTGCATTAAAAATACCCTGACCTTTAAAGGGTGTTCAGTGCTATTTAGTAGTCTTTTGATAAAGCCTAAAGTTAGTTCTTCACATCACAACAGCTTGCTGGCTGACTCTTGAAATGACCTTCAGAAGTATCCATTGTGTATTTTCTTTCCTGAGTATGGAGACAGGAACCACAAGCCTTTCAGTGTTTTGTTGATTCAGTCATACTACTGTCTATGGTTTCATTATCTTACCTCTTTGCAGGGCCAGTGTGCAAGCCACCTATTTTATCCTTAGAAACATTAAGCACAAAACAAAAGTTAACTTCACTTAAAAGTGACACAAAATTCAGCTTTTCCAGGTGTGCTATTTACCTAGAACTCTTCCTAATTCCTAGGAGAATGTTGCCTTCTCATATTGGACAGCTCCATCTATATTTCATGAGCCTTTTTCCCAGGAGGCTTGACTTCTAAGGTCGCTGTTACATGGTTCTTTGGGAGGCTATAATTCCCAGATATCCTAGAAGACCCTCAGCTTTTAGGCATTCTCTTTTGGTCCCCTCCGCGCATTTTCCTTTTTGTGTTTTGTTTCTAAGACAAACCTATTCTTGTAGTCTAAAAAACCAATTCTCTTGTGATTATGGTTCCAAGGAAACCAGATTTTTAAAAAATAGTAACTAATAATACTCTGTGTGAAAATGAAAATTTCATAATATTCATGTTTCCCGATGACTGGAAATCATTTTCTTATGGCATTGTTGCATATGCTTGTCTTTTAAAACATTTAATTACACTAAATTATCTATAAGCCTGGAGTTGGGAAAGCTAAAGTTTGTTCAGTTTTGAAAAGAAAAAGATATTTGCAGTGTGACTGGATATAAGATAATGTGCTTTTTCTTTTCCCTCTTTCAGTGAAGTTTTTGCTTGAGAAATACACATTCGCTCAACAAAACAAAAAACACTTTTAAGGGTTATTCTTGGTGGAAATCGCTCTATGCCCTATTACCCGCTTGAGTGAAACCAGACTAAGAACTTCTGTCATGGCAGCTTTTCTGCTGGGAGCTGTGTTGCTTATTGTTCAACCTCAGATAGTGCCTTCCAGACCAGCTATAAATTCAAATGCTGAGGCTTCTTCTCAGTCTGTTCAGAGAGAGCTTTTAAAGAAAACATCTCAGAAAAATGACTTCAAGGAAAACATTCATTCTAATGGATCATGTCAGCAGCTGCCACAGACTATTATTATTGGAGTGAGAAAAGGTGGAACAAGAGCTTTGTTAGAGATGTTGAGTCTCCATCCAGATATTGCAGCAGCAGAAAGTGAAGTTCACTTCTTTGACTGGGAAGATCATTACAGGAATGGATTGCAGTGGTATGTTAATCAAATGCCCTTCTCGTATCCCCATCAGATCACCGTGGAAAAAACTCCAGCATATTTCACATCACCTAAAGTGCCTGAAAGAGTTTATAACATGAACCAATCAATGAGACTACTCCTTATTTTAAGGGACCCAAGTGAGAGAGTACTATCAGATTACACCCAAGTGTTCTACAACCACATGCAGAAGCACAAGCCGTACCCATCCATTGAACAGTTCCTGATTAAAAATGGTGAACTCAATCTGGACTACAAGGCAATAAACAGAAGCTTATACTACATTCACATGCAGAACTGGCTGAAGTATTTTCCTCTTGATCGTATCCACATTGTAGATGGGGATAAACTAATCAAAGATCCCTTTCCAGAAATAGAAAAGGTGGAAAGATTTCTGAAGTTGTCACCACAGATAAATGCTTCAAACTTCTATTTCAATAAAACTAAGGGCTTTTACTGCCTGAGGGACAGTGGTAGAGAGCGCTGTTTACATGAGTCCAAAGGACGAGCGCACCCACAAGTGGATGCCTGGTTACTGGAGAAACTGCAGGAATATTTCCATGAACCCAACAAGAAGTTTTTCAAGCTTGTGGGCAGAACATTTGACTGGCACACATTTGTGGCAAGTTAGTGGTAAGCTTCAGAACCTATGTTCCAGTGTACAGCTAGAAGATTTGAAAAGGGCATTTAAGCTATTATTTATTTGTAAAATCCATAAATACTTCTGTACAGTATTAGATTCACAATTGCCATATATACTGGTTATATTTTTCTACTTGTTAAATTTGAAAGCATTTTGTATTGTTTTTCATGGTTGTTAACATTGTGTATGATGTGTCTATATAAAGAAACTAAATTATTTCATTGCAGAAGGTGCTCTCTTGAGAATGTGTTGTCTTTTTAATAAATAAGAAATTCATTTCCACAGAACATTTCTGAATTATTTGAATACTTCTGCCTTCCTGGACTGTTTTCTCTAATTGCTAATGAATGTGCTAAACTTTACCTTTCCATTTTTCTTAGTTTAAAGTGTGGATTAATAATTTCTTTTCCATTTGAAAATATTATTGTAGTTAACAAATTGTTCAGTCCTGCTTTATGAAATTATTTCCTGTCAAAGTGGTGGTACTTACACATGTTGGGAAATGCACACCCAAAGGACAATGGAAGTCTCTGTGTAATTTGATATATTAACTGCTATATTTAACCTTCATATTCACTGTTATAACAAGTGCTCCTCAATTCTTTGGCAGTACAGTGCAGGATTCATGGCAGATTTTTAAAGATTCTATGGGGACCAGTTCATAAAATACAGTTAGCTATAGAAATATGGTCAACCTGAAAGCTTCTTACAATCTCTGGATGTATGCATACTTCATAGAGAGGTATGGTTGAGAGAATTTAAGCAATATAGAGACTTTTTCAAGGCTGCTTTTGACTGTTCCTACATTTCATAGCACATTTGTACTTTTTACCATCACTGAAAAAAAAACACACCAGAAAAATTAGATGGTCTACATTCCAGTAAGCAGCAACTTCATTCACATAGCTACCACATTTGTCCCCTACTTGAGGCTGTTTTTTACGAGTTTTCAGTTGCTTCATGCAACTGAAAATTGCCTGTGGACTACTGTTTGTTTAATCTCCTTCCAAGAACCATGATGCCAGGTCTTGATTAGATGTCTGTTGTGGGATTAACCCAAATTCCATGAACTTTCCTTGTTTCCCATCTGCTTACAATGGAAGTTAGATGTTAGTACATTGGTAAAACCTGCAGTTGTCCTTATCTATAGTGGTTATGATGTTTTGTTAGCCATCAGTTTCTGCAGTTAGATTTAATCCAGTTTCCACACAAGGCTTCTTAGAGTACTTTCAATCTAAGCTACTGATTTTTATTTCATGATCTTGAGTTTAGTTGTTGAATGTGCAATAGCAACACCCAGTAAATTTGAACTTGCAGCTGATTGTTGCAATCCTTTATAAAATTTAAATGTAGATTAATTCATTTTTTTCTGGTGAGCTAGTGCAAACTTGGGCACTATGACAAGGTATTGTCTGGATGCAAATATCCCATATTATGCCTCTTGCATGAAAATTTGCAGATGCTGTCCCCTCCTCTCCCACTCCTTGTGCACCTGCCCAAGCTGTATTCAACCTCAGAGAGGTTGGTGGTGTTTTATAAAGCCTACAACGAAATGGTATTGTACTCAATAAAATATTTTCTGAATTGCATTTTTCCTTTCTGTTTTTTTTTCTTCAGTTTCTAGTTTGGAAGACCAGAATTTAGGATTCAACTCCAGTTTAGATTTCATCTAAATGTTACTTAAGAACTTAGCTGCAGCCTGTTGCTATTGATATGAAAGCAATTTTTTGCTGCTGGCTTGTGCCAGCAATGTGTCCACTGCTGACCCAGAATACACAACAGGAGGGAAAGTTTCTGGGGGCAATAATCTCAAATCTTACATGAGGGAGATGCCAAAAATAACAGAATCATAGTGCCATCATGTTTCTATTAAAGTTTTAGAAAAGAGGAATTCAGGGGGTTTTGTGTAAGGTGGTGCAGTTTTTTTTCCTACACTTACCCATTTCCTTGTTAATGTTATCTCTGCAGGAGCCAGCTGGACTAAAGTGCTTTTGGCCCAGCCAAAAGGCTTCCATTAGTGCCTTCCTGCAGCCTCAGATTAAGCTCACCGAATTCACCAGTGTTTTGTTGAGAAGGGAAAAATATGAGCAGGTGTGACCAGGAATTGGAGGAGTACATGAAGGCAGGGTTGCAACAAGTCCACCTGCAGCAGGTTGAACAGGGCAGTGCAGGGCATCAGTATTGAACTGGAAATGCCTGTGCTGTACTGACAGCTGATGTTGGTACTGAGGATACTTTTAGTGTCCAGTGCTACTTGATATCGGTATTTTACCTGTCTCTAAGCAGGACACATGCATGTATTTCCCCACACAACAAGGCATGAACCATTAGGTCGCTATGACTGCTATAGTGCTAGGACCTCATAGATTGTTGTCTGCAGGATCCAGGGGTCAAGTGACCACTTCAGGGGACATTCTGAAGCAGAATATCACATGACTCAGGTCCTAGACGCCAAGTTCAGAGGGTCCCACGGAAAGTATGTCATACCCAATGCTTACACCTTGTTCAGGGATGGCATGATTTTACAATCCCTTATCCTGGAGGTTCCATGGCTAGCTCTTTGTTCGTTGTGACAGTGATGAACAATAAATCACACCCACATTCATAATAACAGTAATGTTTACCTACCATAGGTTCAAGAGTTCAAGAGTTAAAATTCTCAAAACTGAGTGTAATGTTCTGTTAAACCAGAGCAACATTCTTTTTCCACACTAGGTACTATACTTGAATATATTTGCTAGGCTGTTTCTAAAGAAGTCTTAGACAATAACAAAAGCCATCAGAAAGTGAAGAGAGAATGAAAGAAGAAGGCTGAGGCACATTCCATTTGGGACTCTAGAAAAATTAATAATGACCTTTGAAGGTATGTCATATCTATTCATAAAAGAAAAAAAAAAAATCCCTGAAATACTTTTCCAGTGTTATGCAACATAGGTATTTATTTATGTAAAAGTCTACTAGCTCAGGTTTAAAGTACAACCACTTGGGTGTTGCTCCAGAGACCTGCTTTCTCAGGGCACCTAGCCAAGCCTGTGATCACTCTTGCAAACATAAAATAAATACAAAACTTTTTGAGAATTGAAAGCCTGGCACTCCCCTGGAGTACAAAAAGAAATGCCAACGAAATAATTATTCAGGGTGGCACTGCAGGACTAAGTCTTGCCCTTTGCGTCACAACATAGATTAGTGTGAGAGTTTGAAAGCCAGATATTGTACCTGCAGAGGACAAAGATTAAACTATAATGATTATCCCAGAAACACTAATAGAAGATTATGGAAAGGGAAAAGAACACCAAAGCTATTACTTCATCAGGAGTATTGTTACATGTACAGCTGATGCTGCATGATCTTGTTACATGTGCTTTGCTCTTCCTTGTATATTTTTCCTGCTGTTACAGGTGAAAAAACTTCTACTGTGCTTGAATAAATCAACATTTCTTTGGAACATATCAGAAAACAAATTCAATTTTTAATTCTTCCTACATTCATTGATGAGTGTGTATGAAAATTAACACTATAGAATATTTTAGATGAAAACATTTTAGTTTGGTTCTCAAAGCTGATAATTTTATGTTTCCTTGTCTACTGCCATTTTCAGAGTCAGCTTCTGCAGAAAGACAGGATTTAATTGCCTGTTGTCATTCAAATAGATTTCAAATGCCAAAGAGAAATATGGGTTATGGAATATGGCATATTTCCATGTATCTTTCTTCTGCTTTATCTAGCATGGCTGACCATATATTTTAAAAATATCACATAGGTACTCTGTAAGTAGGAGACTGTACATCGAAACTACTTTTCATAGGAATATTTGTTCTCTTTTCTGAAGTCTGTGACTTGAAAGTCCTAATTAAGACCACATTGTGAATGAAATTTTGTAGGAATATGTTAGTAGATGTTCTCTAATACAATAAAAAAGTAATTAAAATAAGGCAAAAGCATAAAACTAAACTACGTCAACAACACATGTTGAAACTTGGTACTAGGTATATACCTGCTGAAATAGTTGCAAGGGCCTCTACAACTGTAGCAACATTTTCTCATTCTTAACCCAGCAACTTTTATTTATATGACTCTGTCTAAATGCCCAGTTATGCTCAAAAGACTGTATGTTCAGTGTTAATTCCTTCATTTTTCAATTGATTGGAAAGGCCAGTTGTGGGTGGAAGCCATGCAAATATCTTGTGAATGGAAAAAACTTTCATTAATAATTTAATGATTTAAAAACTTACAAAAAATAAATGCAATTGCATTTATGTCTCCTAGAATTTTAGCAGAGAACAATACTCTTTTCCTGCAACAATAACCCATCCACAGTAAATTTTCTACTTAAATATCACACAACAGTTGATACAGTTTTTAAGATAATAGTGCAATAAACTCAACAGTGATGCTGGAGATTTTAAATGCCTTCTGGGAAGTATAAAATATGCAAGTCAGGGTGGGGAGCAGCTGGATGCATAAGAACATCTGATCTCATTGGTCTGAGAAAACTTTTTTTTTTTAATGGTAAGGAGCATGAAATTTTTGGCTTGGAGTTAACTTTGTGTTGTCTGTGAAAGCCGTGTCTTCAATTAACTTCCAAGTCAATAATCCTGTCATAATTACATCATCTTTATACCTAATAGTGATATAATTCTCTGCCAAAACATATTTTAGGAGTCAAACCTCAGATAGCAGGTGCATCCCTTATTATTAGAAAAAAAATTATAACGCAACTCTGACACATAGCTTCAATTACAAAGGCTCATTGCATTGCACAAAGGAGTATTCTGAAACTCCTGGAAAAATTCTTCTTTTCTTAATTTGGATGAAGATTACAGAAACAGGAACATTTATACATTCACAGAAAACAGAACAACTAATATGCCCTTCCCTCCTTGGTTTACAATCAGTCAGTGAGCAGTATTTCATTAATAAAGATCAGGCCAGCTTCCAGGATCCAGCACAGTTCAGTCCAGAGAACACTCAAAAGGGGAGTTGTTGCAGTAATTCTTAACCAAACAGACTTTTCAGGGTATCTCCTATTACTGAAATTTTTCTAATTCTTCTTTCCTCCCCTGTATGCTGCTTTCTTGTCACATCTATGCTATTAATTATTATATTATCACCCTATAAGAAATAGATCAATTATATGATGTTGTTTTTATAGAATACATATATTCTATAATACATAGAATATATATTTTAATTTAGAAATCAAATTAATGGGAAATCACAGCATTATGGAGCTCAAAAAATAGATGTTTTTGCTCTGATATATTTTTAACTTTAATTGAATAAAATTCAGCTTATTTGGTCTGTGTCATTGCATTACAGGACGACCTATTGTCACACCATCATCACATGTAGGTAATTATATAATGGTATTTATATTTTATAAATAGAAATGTGTAAAAAAACCCAAAACTTTCTTGTTGTTACAGTAGCAACTATATTCTTGCTCATATTATGAGACTTTTACCCATAGTACATATGGTAGCAGTGTTTCTTTGGAAGTGACAGAAGCATTTTGAGATCCATTCTCTTAATACATGTAGGAATAGGGTCTTTAGTCCCTCTGTGATCTTACGTAAAGTACAAAGTGCAGGAATGCCAAATATGTTCTGTAGTCAATTAACAACAGTTGGTGAAGTTTTACTAAACCAAAGATATCAAAAGTGTGCATGTTCTGACAGAAAAGGATTTGGAACCATTCCAAGTGGTTTTTATTTTAATGTCTTATAATTTTCTTGCCAAAATATGAGTTCCTGTGCAAAGGGGATAATAGAGGGGAAGAAGGACACGTGCTGCAGAAACAGAGCACCTACTCTATTTTACTGTGACACAGGCTGGACCTCAGCTAGGCAGCTGCATGAATAAAGGACACTGGAAGAGGATAGAAAGGGAACACTGGGTACAGGTGAACATCTTGTCATAACCTCATTACCTCTGTTCATATCCTTACATATGGTGAACAAGCACTCACTCTCAATTCTCAAAACAACTTATTTTCCAGTTCCAGTCTGTGCCAGAGAAAAGGCATCCAAATCCAACTGGGTGTCTGTTGATTCCCATGCCTTAAGGCCTTTTTTACAAGGTAGTGCACTATAATGCAATTAGAGTTATTCACCTCAGTTTCTAATCTTCCCCCTTTTGTTTTTAAATTTGTATTGAGTTTTCCATCTGCTACAAATAAAAAGGTTTGATGAATAAATTATTTACAGTCTGCAGGAGGAGAAGAGTTCATATGAAACATTTTGCAGATAGGAGACTTGCAAAAGAGGATATTTTCTCATAGAAAAAAGAGCATCTGTGGACCAGTTTCTTTCTTGCTGACTAAGCCAAGTGGATATGATAGCATTTTGGCAGCTTCCTTATTCTTGTGTGGGCTTCAGTTATATGAATTCCATAAGATATTTATTATTGAGTGTAACTATATATTGAATATCGTGCATATGATGGTTTATGATGTTGGCATTAGTTTTCTAAGTTAATTATTTAATATGAAATGGTATTAAAATCCTGGTGCCATTTTTTCATAATAAACTTGAGTCATTTAATTCTCAGACATTCATAAAGTGGGAAAAAAAGTAAAAGTTGAACTGCC